TATTCAAAGCATTCACTAAACATACATTTTTCATATCTTTTTATTGATACATCCGCAGACTATCGAAAAAATATTTTTTAGAAATTTTTCAGGGAACACCTGACAACGAGTCATATAGGCGTTCTCATAAAAAATGTTGTCTGTTCCTTTTTTGATATTGCTAGAAAACGAGGTCTACGATACAGCAAGCTCCTGAATTCGTACAAAAGTCTATGAACGCAATGTAATGTCTATCAGATTTCGGGACAAATACATTATTAATTTACACATTATGGATATTTTTAGCAGCGATTTGCCGCTTTGCTGAATTATTTATGCTACAACCTAGCCGACAATTTCTTAATTTACAAAAAATAGGCTAAATAAAAGGTAGAAGATATAATGTTGAGATATTCATAAAAGGGTATACAATGATTTTACCATTCATTTATTATGGGCAGTATCTACTTATTAAAAATAAACAGGTTATTCTCGTATATATGGAACTACCGATTTCCCTCATTGATGCCTCACGGGGGGGGGGGGGTTGTCGATAATTGACAGGTAATACGCAAAGTAGATGGCAACGGTTAAGGTGCCGTTTTAAAAACGTTTAAAAACATATTTTCTGGACTAACAGCTTCCAAAATTAAATTACAAATGTGTTCAGATCTACTAAGCCAAAATCTCATTCTAGGTATTTTTAGTGATATAAATTAACTCCGTTGTCACCTTAACCTCGGCTGTCGCCACAGTCTTGTTCTTTTTCGTGTCAATTCAAATCATGAAAAACACATTTCCATATGAATATAAACTGCTAACAAACAACAAGTATTCACGAAGGACAGTTTCTCTGGCTACCCGAATCAGCCGGAACCGGATCCGGCATGGCAGAGTAGCCAGAATACAGTTGTGTTCCGGTATTACTTCACGAACATATAAATATCGCGGTCTTTTTTTTTCTAGAAATTTACTTTTATTTGAAAAACATAAATTTTAAAAAAATTTTTTATAATTTTCATTATTTCTTGAACATTTCGTTTTGGGCGGGAAAAAATGTTTTTACAAATAAAAATCGTAAAAAATAATTTTTTCCCACGGGCACCCTTTAAATTAAGTGGGGGTTATTTAGCTTTTAAAATTATTGATCATAAACAATAACAAAGAAGGCAAGTTTTTTACCTTTTGATATGAAAAGTTAGAACTAAATTAAACCACTTTTTATTTTTAAGAAGGTATTTAATTAAAATCAAAAGTAATAAAACCCGTTTCCCCAATGAATGAATATCCATGAAATTTTACTTTTAATTCTTTAAAGTTTGTTATTCTTGTTATATAGGCTCTCTCCCAGGAAAGTAAAAATGGGCCGAATTTTTTTTTGTTTTCTTTCCCCCCAATTTTTGTTTTTTAAAGAAGAAATCCTTTTTTTTAAATGAACGTTAATGTATTTTTAGAACCTACATTTCTTCCTGATTCAAATTTTGCTCTTGTTTACAGGTCGGGAAAATGTCAAGAATGGCTTACTGGCTCTGGAAAGGAATCATCTGCAATGTCTTCAAATTCAGAAATGGAGAGGTACGTTGATTTTAAACGATGTTCTACAAAAACAAATATATTCAACAACTAAAAGCAGGGAGCTGAAGTAGCTAAAGCACGCTCCGTTCCTCCGCAAATGATCTGATTTTGTTTCCGATTATTTCCATAACGGCAGCTTGCTTATCATAAATATTTTCGATCATCTTATCAGAGGAACGGAGATTTCTTTCTTGAAACAATTTTATAGGGGATTTTATATTGAAATGTTTATATTATACAAGGTGTCTTATAGATCTTCCTTACTTTATTTTGGTTTCTATTGCGTTTAATTCTGTAACATCGCATTTATATCTATATTTAGTAAACAAACAAATGTATATTTTATTCCTTTTTGGGGAAGGGGTGGGAGGAAGGACATTTGAGAGAATTCATCTTGAATAAATGGACTAGTATTTTTTCTTTATAAAAATAAGTTTTTGTGTCCCTGTGACTGCTTAGTGTATTCACTTCGAGGACACTTACAGAATGTTAAACGAAACATTCAAAAGGAATTGATATAGATTAATATATAACATAAAACATATATTTCAAAGAAATAAAGTTATACTTTTTGCTTAAGACAATTTCTATTATCTGTACATACATTCCGCTTAAAGTACTACTTTTCCTACCATTTATGTCTAGTAATGTCTATATATTTTTCCTTTTCTTTCAGTTCAGTTGATAATGACTGGAGGGAATCTAGAACGGTTGCGCAATGTGTGTCACATCTTTGCTTCTCAGAACATCTTTCCGACATAAGCTTTACCTTCAGCGACGATAAAAGTGTAAAATTTCCAGCACATAAATTTGTACTGAGCATGCGCAGTGATGTTTTTGAAACCATGTTTTATGGTTCTCTTGCAGAAGGAGGTGAAACGGTGTTAATCAAAGATGTCAAACCTGACGTTATGAAGACGATTTTAAGGTTAATATATCACAATACCATTGAATGCACAGATGTTGAATCTGCAATAATCAATTGTGACGACCTTAAAAGAATAAAAATTGAGAACATGTTGGTTGGTGAGCTTTTGTGATCGCTTTTCGTCCGGCGTCCGTCCGTCCGTCCGTCCGTCGTCCGTCCGTAAACTTTTGCTTTAAATGACATCTCCTCATAAACCACTGAGCCAATTTCATCCAAACTTCACAGGAATGTTCCATTGGTGGTCACCTTTAAAAATTGTTCAAAGAATTTAATTACATGCAGAACTCTGGTTGCCATGGCAACCGAAAGAAAAATCTTTAAATATCTTCTTTTAAACAACCCTAAGAGCTAGAGCTTAGATATTTGGCATGAAACATCTTCTAATGAGTGTCTACCAAGTTTGTTCAAATAAAAGCCCTGGGGTCAAAATTGGCCCCGCCCCAGGGGGTCATTGATTTTCCCTATATGCATATAGTAACAACTTAAAAAATCTTCTTTATAAGAACCGTAAGAGCTAGAACTAAGATATTTGGTATGAAACATCTTCTAGTGAGTGTCTACCAAGTTTGTTCAAATAAAAGCCCTGGGGTCAAAATTGGCCCCGCCCCGGGGGTCATTGATTTTCCCTATATTCATATTGTAAAAACTTAAGAAATCTTCTTTTAAAGAACGGTAAGAGCTAGAGCTAAGATATTTGGCATGAAACATCTTCTAGTGAGTGTCTACCAAGTTTGTTCAAATAAAAGCCCTGGGGTCAAAATTGGCCCCGCCCCGGGGGGTCATTGATTTTCTCTATATGCATATAGTAAAAACTTAAGAAATCTTCTTTTAAAGAACTGTAAGAGCTAGAGCTAAGATAATTGGCATGAAACATCTTCTAGTGAGTGTCTACCAAGTTTGTTCAAATAAAAGCCCTTGGGTCAAAATTGGCCTCGCCCCTTGGGGTCATTGATTTTCCCTATAATATATGAATATAGTAAAAACTTAAAAAATCTTCTTTTAAAGAACCCAAAGAGCTAGAGCTAAGATATTTGGCATGAAAGATCTTCTAGTGAGTGTCTACCAAGTTTGTTCAAATAAAAGCCCTGGGGTCAAAATTGGCCCCGCCCCGGGGGGTCATTGATTTTCCCTATATGCATATAGTAAAAACTTAAAAAATCTTCTTTTAAAGAACCGTAAGAGCTAGAACTAAGATATTTGGCATGAAACATCTTCTAGTGAGTGTCTACCAAGTTTGTTCAAATAAAAGCCCTGGGGTCAAAATTGGCCCCGCCCCGGAGGTCATTGATTTTCCCTGTATGCATATAGTAAAAACTTAAAAAATCTTCTTTTAAAGAACCGTAAGAGCTAGAGGTTAGATATTTGGCATGAAACATCTTCTAGTGAATGTCTACCAAGTTTGTTCAAATAAAAGCCCTTGGGTCAAAATTGGCCCAGCCCCAGGGGGTCATTGATTTTCCCTATATGCATAAAGTAAAAACTTAAAAAATCTTCTTTTAAAGAACCCAAAGAGCTAGAGCTAAGATATTTGGCATGAAACATCTTCTAGTGAATGTCTACCAAGTTTGTTCAAATAAAAGCCCTGGGGTCAAAATTGGCCCTGCCCCAGGGGGTCATTGATTTTCACTATATGCATAATTTATAGTAAAAACTTAAAAAATCTTCTTTTAATGAACCCAAAGAGCTAGAGCTTAGATATTTGGCATAAAACATCTTCTAGTGAATGTCTACCAAGTTTGTTCAAATAAAAGCCATGGGGTCAAAATTGGCCCGCCCCAGGGGGTCATTGATTTTCCCTATATTCATATAATAAAAACTTAAAAAATCTGCTTTTAAAGAACCCAAAGAGCTAGAGCTAAGATATTTAGCATGAGACATGTTCTAATGGGTGTCTACCAAGTGTGTTCAAATAAAAGCCCTGGGGTCAGAACTGGCCCCGCCCCGGGGGTCATTGATTTTCCTTATATGTGTATAGCAAAAACTTAAAAATCTCCTTTGAAAAAACCCAAATAGCTAGAGTTTAGATATTAAGCATGAAACATCTTTAAGTAAATATCTACAAAGTTTGTTCAAATAAAAGCCTGGGGGTCAAAACTGGCCCTGCCCGAGGGGTGTCATTGTTTTTAACTATATGTGTATAGTAAAAACTTAAAAAATCTTCTTTTAAAAAACCCAATGAGCTAGAACTTAGATGTTTTGCATGAAACATCTTCTTTTGGGTGTCTACCAAGTCTGTTCAAATAAACAAATAAAAGCCCTTGGGAAAAAATTGGCCGGGGGGGGGGGGGGCTATATACAGGTGATCGACCTCAGGGCCATCATGGCCCTCTTGTTTTGAATATCGATGAGATAGACAATCTATATTATTCATTTTACTTTTTGTTTATTTATAAGATTGATTTATTATTATTTTTTTGTATTGAATGAGTTTCATTTTCTGTATTTTAGATTTGTCTACACCGACAAGCCAGAAATTGACGGAAATAATGTCTTACCTTGTTTGTATGCAGCAAAAAAGTACAACTTGGCTGGTCTTGTCAAACAATGCTCCGACTTTCTTCAAAACAACATTGATGAGAACAATGTTTGTCAGATAATTGAGCATGCCATCTTTTATCAGATGAATCCTCTACAAGAGAGATGCCTTTCATTCATCATGGATAATGCATCAAAGGGTCCTTTCTGCTCCAGGTTTTATAGAACTATCGCACGCAACATTGTTGAATATTCTCAAACGAGACGAATTAGCAAGCGAAGAAATTGATTTATTTAAAGCAGCAATGAAATGGGCGGAACACAATTGTGGTGATTCTAAATCTGGACAAAATATGCGCGATCAACTTGGGGAAGCTCTGTTCGAGATCAGGTTTCCGAATATACCAATAGAAGATTTTGCGCGAGTTGTTACTCCATCTGGAATACTTACCAACGAAGAGCTAGTGACGCTGTATCAATTTAACGCAACAAAAGGGTCGACACCTTTGGGGAAATTCAGACAAGGGGAAAGACCGGGAGCACCAATTACTGTCAATCTCGGGCGGTACATGTATGATCTGCAACGAATGTGTAGGAGCTCAGGTTGTTACTTAAATATACAAGGTTATAACAATCGTTCTAGACAAAATCAATTATTTTCTAATCAATTTCAAGTTAAACCAATCGGTAAATCCGTAAAATTAAAGGCTGTCACTGGTACGTTTGTTGGAAAGATAACAGGGATTGCCACCAATGGTATACAAAGAGCTGATTACAAAACTAATGGACATGAACTTTTCTTTGATAATCCGATCGACATATCTGACAATATCAGTTTACAGTTTTATTTAAGCAACGAAAATATGATCAATACACTCAAGCAACCAAACCATTCCACATTTAATTTAAACATACAGGAAAACGTGAAAGGACAAGATATAACAATAACCGCCATTCCTAAGGGCTTAGAAACAATCACCTTCGTTTGAATGTAAAAGATTGCTAGTTCTACATACCTGTATAATTTTTAAGGAACAAAACATGGTGTAAATATTGAATGCACATTTGATTTGAAGATTTTGCACATCAACAAAATTGGCTTGAAATTATGAACAGTGACAAGCAAGAAATTAAAGGTTTTTCTCATGCAAAGTTTCGTAAAAACATACATCCTAGTATATATTTATAAATGTGGGAGTTTGTTGTTGTCAATTGTTAGAAGAAATTGATGTAAATTGCTAGTCATTGAATATATAATATATAAAATATATATTTAAAAGAACGGGAAAGACCTACTGTCTGCTTTAAGTAAAGAAGCAAATAAAACCGAAAAGACGGGTTGCTTCCGCAAGAATAATTAATTGTTATGAAAATTCGATGGAGCATTAAAACAAAGCAAATTGTTGAGGATTGAAGACTCAATTTAATTAAGTCTGTTCATGATGGACGATGTAATTTCTCACGCCCACTTGTTCCTGCTAACGGCGATTCAATCCTCAATACTAAAAGTAGTATCAATGATACCTTAAGACCTGAAAAATCTAACAACACACGCATGAAATACTACACAATTTTTTCAAGCAAATAAGCAAGCTTCGGGGAAGTCTTGTTTTCAATCTAAATGAAGTTCCACTTTCAAACAAAGGAGTAAGTTTCAGAGAAAATTGTGGTAAAGTGTGATACCTTGGAAGCATTAAACACAACTTGTAAAATTAATTGAAAACGGCAGACTCGGTTTGAGTAAGCCTGTAAAATGAAGTACAGCATCTCTCACACTCCAAGCAGCGACTTTTGTGGTACTCAATCTTAATCACTTGATTTCAAGTAAATAAGTTATATATGATGTTCTGTGGGGGAATTAAATTCAAGGGCATTTCCAATCAGCATTAAGTCATTATACATTGCGGCAAACTCCAAATCTTTTACTATTCTGTTCCCCTCTATTCAGACATCATTTCATGGTCTATGTTCATATATAAGCGGAATTCATTTAATTGACTCACTTACGTGCCTTCATACTGTCTGGTTTTAAGAATTCTACATTGTCAGTCATTGACACACAATCTGTCTCCTTTGTACTACAGAGGAAGTTGTAACGGTATAGTACAAAAAATTAAATAGTACAGTACTAAAACCATCGAGAAAACGGACAAACACACTTAAGCTGTAACTCTGACATGAAGGCAGATAATTGCTTTGTACATTCATGGGCAGTCTTATGAAAGTGTTTTAAAAGTTCAAATATGTGTAGTCATTTGTATCAGCTGTATTACTGCAATTGCAATGTGCGTGTTAGTCTAAACATATCAGCTTCAGATATATAATGAATTGTGTCATCTTTGTTATTTTAAATGTCAGTTTCTAAGGGGCACAAAATGTTCCTCTATAATTTCCTCTATATTCTACTTAAGACTTTCCTAGCGTAGATCTGCTGAGTCACCTTTTTCTACCTTCCATTTTTTTTAACTGTTCATTATCAACCTTGGGAGTATCAAGATTATAATATAATTACAGTCAGTCAACAATATACATGTTGAACATGAATGTGCAGGCTGGTCTGGTCCTATACAAGTTGCCACAGCTTAACAATTTGGGTTCAGGTAGGATAAAAATGAGGTCAACATATTCTATTAATAAACAGTCAAGCAATGTGCAATCTTGATGGACACTTTAATCGTAACCCTAGTAAATATCCAGTCGCCAGTACCAAAGTAAGTAAAAATGCAAAGATTAATGTTACCATTAAAATCCATCTAAGAGCATCCGCTTATTACGTTAAAATATAATAGCATTCTTGTGCACTCAAGGCACTGTATGAACGCACGTGAAATAATTGCAGCACAGGAAAATAACGGTTCACAAAACACAAATGAAAGATACATGATAAATAATGACAAAAGAATTTATCACTTAACTAAAAGTTTTTTTTTCTAAATTAACAAGTTAATATGAAATTTACCCCTTAACCTGCTAGATTTACGTAGTGGATTTACCAAGCTTTGAATTCTGATTGTTTCGTTTTACGGCGCACCAAAACAGTTAAGGTCCTTTGGCTCCGAAACAGGTAAGCTGAGTTTGGCTAATCCCGGGTGTTACAAATTTAAAGCAACACCAAGGTCCAAAACTAACTCACCTGCTGGAGCTAAGAGATACATAGAATTTTGAAACCAAATAAGAGGTCGCTTTGAATTTGGAACAGTTCATTCAACTTTTTATTATGGATTTCAATATTGACATACACAACAGTATATAAGGTATGGTCAGACTGAAATGGATGTTCAAGCTGGCCTAGCTCTATACTGGTGAAAAAGGTTTATAAGAATTATTAATTTTTTTAGAATTTAAGTAGTTAAAAAAGTTGACATTTTGGCGCTAAAAGCTCTCATGCACTTCATGTTAACGTCGCCGCTATTTTAAGCGCCGTCACGGACGGCAGAGTTACAGGAAGTTACATACATTAATTAACAGTAGCGATTTTTGAAGTTATTATAATTGTAACAGTAAACATTCAAGATTGTGAGAATCGCTACGCATTGCTTCATTTGTATGAAATTTGACGCAGCGCATTTCTTACTTGGTTTCCTCAATCTTGAACAGGTAAGTCAACTTTAATTCGAGCAGGTTAAGTACAAAAAAAATGCTCTTCACGGAAGGCTTTTCAAGTACTGAACTTACAAATGTGCATACATTTCTTTACTATGATAAATACCTACACGTAACCAGGGTCTTTCAAATAGAATTGAATCTATTTGAAAGACCCTGGCGTAACACATAAATAGATAACAAACAAACAAGAGCTGGAAAATTCACTATTTATTACCTTCTTTAAACAAATGGAATATTTAAGTTTAAGAAAATGTAAAATGATACAAAAACGGCATATCATTTTCAACAGTATCACAGAGAAAAAAACATAAACGATTCAATATAGTTATAACAAACAATTATCATAGTATTGCAAGCAATCCATAAGTCCCCTACCGGTTAGAACCCCAGCAACTTTCTGATGGGCCATTGGCCAGTCAATTTTACCAGTGAATAAATGACATGAATGAACTTAAATCTTTTGAGTTCTAAGTTTGTCTATATCACAGTAATGTGTCATGTTTCCCTGCCTAGTAAGGAAATTATGTTTATACAACCTTGTCATTTTATTACGATTTGGGATTTTAAAGTAAATCCTATAATTAATGAATGAAGAAGTTGGAGTGAAAAATACCAATTTCTCAAGGAGGACATAATTCTGGAAATAGTCTTGCTAGAGTATTTAACCTTCTCAAAAATGTTGAGTGATAATAAGAAACATATATATGAAGTTTGAAGTAGATACATTAGGAAATAAAGAAGTTATTTAAAAAAGACAACATTTTTTTCATAAAAATTCTAAGTTCAAGGGAGGTAATACTGATAATTTTTGTGCTAGAGTTGTAAACCTTGTCACATATGATGTGGTTGATGACCAGAAACTTATATTTAAAGTTTGAAGTAAACACCTTAAGAAATAAAGAACTTATAGTGAAAAAGCTGACAAATTTAAATCAGAAATCTTGAAATTCAGGCTATTTGTTGCCATAGCAACCAGAATTTTCAACATAGGAAGAAAAAAAAGACGTGCATAATCTCCATACTGCAATCTATCCATATACATGTATCAAGTTTCATAAAAATATTTTCAGTACTTTTTGCGTTATCGCGGGATCCAGTTTATGTGTTCAATTTGCCATATTTTCAGGCTATTTGTTGCCATAGCAACCAGAATTTTCCACATAGGAAGAAAAAAAAAGACGTGCATAATCTCCATACTGCCATCTATCCATATATCAAGTTTCATAAAAATATTTTCAGTACTTTTTGCGTTAACGCGGGATCCAGTTTATGTGTTTAATTTGCCATATTTTCAGGCTATTTGTTGCCATAGCAACCAGAATTTTCAACATAGGAAGAAAAAAAAGACGTGCATAATCTCCATACTGCCATCTATCCATATATCAAGTTTCATTAAAATATTTTCAGTACATTTTGCGTTATCGCGGGATCCAGTTTTGTGGACGGACTGACTGACAGACAGACGGACAGACAGACGGACGGAGGGTAAACCTAAAGCCTCTCCGGTTAAACCGGTAGGGGACTAAAAATGCAAATATTAATATACACATATTAATTTAAAGGATTAATATAAATAAAGTAATTAATCAATTAAAGGAACAACTACAAGTAAGAATTTCCCAATATATAAATTATGCAAAATATCCTGTTTTTGCTTTTTAACAAAGAAAATATTGCAGTCACTTTGAAATAGCCAATTTTTCTCATTTATCTTCATTAACAATAAAGTGGCTACAAGGTTAATCAATCAAATGCTTACAATAAGCATAAGGAATAATAAATCATATGTTAGAATTTTGCAACAAAATTTCATGTCAAAATAACTAAACATTTTGGTGTAAGGATTTCAGAAACACGGGAAATTTTATGATCATATGGCTGGCGGAGGAAGACCTTGCGTGCACTTCCATCCAATATGTATAAAATATTCAAGAATACCAGTACAAGACAGTAAGATTGTAATTAATATCAGTAAAATACCAACACATAGACTTATATTAAAGACAAAAATGTGAACTTTGGGGATAATTAATCCTTGATACAGACTTTAATGTTTTATACAGACTTTCAGTGTCTGATACAGACATAAAGTGTATAAGGTTAGTTTCTCCTCCACATAAAGGTACATTATGCCTCAAAAGTGATTAAATGAATGAGCCGAATCACAACAAAACCAACGTTATGTGTTTGCGACCAGCATGGATCCAGACCAGCCTGCGGATCCGCGCAGTCTGATCAGAATCCATGCTGTTCGCTATCAGTTTCTCTACTTGTTATAGGGTTTGTAAGCGAACAGCATGGATCCTGATCACACTGCGCGCATAAATTTGGTTTTGAAGTGACGCGGCTCAAATGTTCATTCTTTAAAAAGGCAAACATGACTTTTATAAGATTTAAATAATGGTTTTAAAGCATTTCAGATGGGTCTGAAATTCTCTGTCATAAAAGTAGCAAATGTAAACATTAAGTACTATTTTGAAAGGAAGTCAAAATACTAAATAACTTATATTTTACTAATTGCCAAAATGCAACGGATGCAAAAGATGGTTCAGTTAATTGGCCATTGAGTAACTTTTTTGGAAACTATTACAGGACAAAACAAGAGGGCCATGATGGCCTTGGGATCGCTCACCTGTACATAGGCCCCCAGGGCGGGCCAGTTTAAACCAAAGGGCTTTTATTTGAACAAACTTAGTA